CTTTTTCCAAGGTGTTAGCAAACACTGTCTCCCGAGAGTCACATAAAGCATCATGTTTTTAAGACACTGCATAACAAAGAATGATATAGCTGACAGGTAAAAGCATCCCTACAGAAAGAAAACCATTAGTTTCTTATTTTTTTTAAGTGCATGTTCCCTTGTGAAACGTATAGAACAGGACACGTTTCTAGGTACATTTCATCTATCCACCCAACATTCCTCAGCTGCTTTTGGTGGAACTCATTAGTTTCAAGGGTCCCAAAAGCTGCTTATTCAGTATAGCACAGTAGTCACTAGGGCTACTAACCTTCTAGCTTTACAAATAACAGGAAAGTCCCCTTTTTGTGTTCTGTAACACAAAGCCAAGCAGATTTCCAGAACAGTATACTTATGGCATGTATAAAAGGACTGATCTAAAAATAAAACAACCCCTTTTGTAAAGGATTAGGTTATTTAGATCTCTCCTTCCTTCCTTTCTTTCATATAACTTCCTTCCTCATCAGTTTCTTATGATTCCTTCACTTTCACATCACTTCCAATAATCCTGTATAAGTCTCTATCTTTCCTCATCTACAGCATTTCAGTTCCCTATGCTCTTTTTAAAATCTGGGATGACAACCAGGATTTTAGCAGATGATTAGTTGCTCCTAGTTCTCTTGACTTTATTTAGTCAGGAGGTTCAGATGACAGCTTCCTGCAAGCTTTCACAGAATCACAGAGGAGTTGAGGTTGGAAAGGACCTCTGGGAGACATCTGGTTTAAGCCTCTGCTCAGGCAGGGTAAAAGCTGTCAGAAGACAGTTAAGGCCACCTAGTATCAAACCCACCTAACAGCACATGTCTCCTCCACAGTAAGTAAATAACATTTCAGGTACATCACGTTTCTCCCATCCCTGAAACTAGGAGATGCACATGTTGGTGGAACTTTTTGCTTAGATGGGACGTTAACTAACAATTACATCTGTCTCACATCCACACCCCATTGCTCCAAGACTGTGTAACTACAGTGATTTGAACATATATTTGGAAGCATATGCTTTTAATGTTTTCTAATCCTTCTTTCATTTTTTCTTTTTACCCTTCTTTGTTAAACCTGCTACGTTTGCCTCTTTTTAAAGCATTACAGCTTTTGGCTTTAGCACAGGAAGGTAATCATACCTTCTGGAAGAAGGAAAAATACAAACTGCTTACTTGGTGTTGCCATCTGCTTGTCCTGACAAGAGAAAAGATATTATTGACCTAATATAACAGTGTGCATTGACTAGAATCACAGGTACTTAAGCAGGATTAAAATGTAATATGCAGTAACAATAACAACGATCTAAGGCAGAAAATACTTGGATTGCTCAACATCTAATTTCAAAAACGTTATTTTACTCTGTATAAGTTTGGCAGAGCCCATTTCTTTAAAGCAGGTATTGCCTTGTGCTCCATGTCCTAGCCATGCATAAGGACTGTCCTGCTCAGAACCTTCCCACCTCCTGCCCAAAGACTTCCCTACAGGTGCCTGTTGATTGTCTGCACAGTTTCTGCACTACTGATATTTTATAACAGACTGTTAATTAAGCATTGTAGTTGAAAGAACAAAGACCCTTAGCAATGCTTCCTACCTAGGGAACTAGAAAAATTTCCTATCACATGCTAAATCAACATAACTTTTCTTGCCAGGAATAGTCTACACTTGGTTCCCTCTCCCAAAATCCAACAATATCTCCCAACTTCACAGTAGACCGTAATAATCAGGATTCTACATGTCTTTTACCACCAAGATAATGAAAGCACGAGGCAATGAAAGATAAGGACAGCGAGACATCATATCCGACACCAATGTAAAGCACAAACCTCAGCACTAAAGAACTGCGCAGTTCTTACTACTACCATTTAGCTCTAGGAAGCTTACATTTTCAAAGAAAACTGAAGGATTTAGACAAGCAGTTAACTTTGGTAGAGAACAAAAATTAAACTATTATTCCATTATTGCTATTGAAGGGAAAATATAAAATTATACATGGAATCTCCTATTCAAAAGTAAAAACCAGTGTAAAGTCTGATAGTAAAGTTGAAAGAAAGAAAACTATAAGAAAGTTGTAATATTCCCAACCCCCATCCCCTCTCTGGATCTGTCTGCACAAATGAGATCATGAGCAGACAACTAAATTCTTCACTCCTCCCATTCTAAGAATGCAATGAAAACCATCAAACTCATGAGCTGTAATGCTCCCTAATCTACAAGGGCTAGGAATATAAATTATATTTGCCTAAGGCTGGTCCAGCAGAGCATGCTTTTTTGACTGTCATATCCACTTAAGGAAAGCAATATGCTTAAAATAGAGCTTGTCTATTTATGACTAATAAATGTGATCTGGTCAATTTTTTAACTTAACCTGCAACAGTAATATCTGAATATCTGTAGATACAGTATGTCTGTGCATTAGCTATTTTCCTCTTAAAATGATAAATGGTAAAACAGATTGTCAAGTTCAGCCAAACCCCCAAAAGCATTCATCAGTGACTCAGTTCAGCTAGCTTGGACTATTATGATATGGAATTTGATATTGCCAGATTTTATAGCGCAGACAGATATTAACCTGATAAACAGCAAGTAAGCCTTAAAGAGCTTGCCTGCACTGGAGCACATCAATGTCCAAGACCTACACACACAGGCTTGAGTTGAGGTCAGTTTAATGCAGGTCTTGCTGGCTTGACAAGAGTGGCTGAGCACTCACCTTCTCCTCACTTCATAGAACTGCCACTACTGAACCTGAGCTGCTGCAATTCCATGTACCAGTCCAATAACACTGATGATGTGCAAACAGACTAGTCAATTAGGTATTGCATCAAGTAGCTATGTTCAGTGTTGTAATCAGCCTGTGGCTGGCATGCACAACAGCACTTTGGTGCTACTGCATTTCAAGCTTTAGGCTAACACCAATGTTTAAGTATTTATTCTAGAGCAGAAATTCAAGCTTGCTGTGCTGGAACTACAAGAAATAAAGAAAATAAAAACAAATCAGATCCTCTTCCGGCATCTCAAGAACAAAACAGCTGGCAAAGAGCTCAGATAATTTCAAGGAATTACAGATTCACTACTTTGCTTTCTTCCAGCCCCTGTATATGCTTTCCTTTCTCTGTATGACTTATATTGGCAAAGTTTTTTGCATGATAACTGGAGAACATATTAATCCAATTACGATGCTACAGGATTTTCTTAAAGTTCTGAGAGTTGTATTGGTCATGGATAGATGACTAAGTGATTGAGACTCTCTTTCTTTCTCCTTTTATTTTATGAGAAAGCATGAAAGTGGCATTTTCATTGTGACATTTGTTTTGCTTTATTCTTCCTGTGAAGATGAATGAGAAATGTCACTCGTTCAATGAGCATTTGAAGAGACAGCAAGTAAATTTTTTCTTTCTGTTATTAAGTTAAAGTTGTGACAGCATATACTGCATCTATACTGTTGTCCAGCAAGTCATTTTGTCATTGTTTTAAGCCATAAAAGCTTAAAACCATTCCTTCTGCAACATTTCAAAAGTCACTCCAAGTTATCATTAGTTTATCCAATTCTTGATTCATCTCCTTTCCCTACCATCCCCACTCCAGCATCTCTTTTTTTTTTAAAGCTATCTCTATATTAATTATCAAATCATTGAAAAGTTTTTGGTTGATTTCACATTTATTTCATTTCTTTCACATTTATTTTCACTCTACAATCATTTTGCATTTCCTCTGTTTTGACTATGGAACAGCCTTATGATAGATCACATAATATGGAAAGCCCTCAGGCACTATGTTACTATTATAAAGCGCACTTTCACACATAACTTTTTTGAGCGAGACCTCCTTGATGCAGCAAATGCCTTCCTCTTGCATGTTCTGGAGTGGCTGGTCCCTAACTCCCAGTGCTTTTCCTGGTGGATTATATAAAGGTCTTCGGGTTCCCTTTCTCATCAAATTCTCCAGGTGTGATTCAGCACTGTTTTGAAGAAGGAAGTTTCCAAATCAAAGCTTAAAGATACACAGCTGAAGGCCTGAAAAAGAGGAGGCCTACAAAACTTTCTACTTCATTAACGAAAATCAGCAACACCTGGCATAGAGAGGCACTGGGTGGAAGTCTGCAGTAGTTGATGTACTAAATACCTGAGAAGAAGCATCATGTGCAAATTGATTATGAACCTCACAGTCTGTACAACATAACAAATACATCTGAAAGGGCGATTCACATAAGGCTGAGTTTAAAGTGTATTTTAAGACATCATAAGAGAACATGAGGGAATTCTGTTCCTTGTTCTGGTAATCATCATTCCCTACAAACAAGAGGCCTATGTTTCATTCAGAGGAAAAAAAAAAAAAAATGCACTCTGCTCAGATTCATGAGGTCTGCATAACCTTAGCAGCCAAGTCCCATCATCAAAAGCTACTTAGGGACAATTCTGTATTCTATAAAATGCTTCTGGAAGTCAGATAAGGTAGATAATTCCCTCTATGAATATGGACTCTGATCACACTTGAAACAGGACTTTACAACAATTTGCTTTAATAAGTGGTAGGGTATAAATATCCTTTTTCACAACACAGGGGCTTTCTCTCTGAAAGCTTAAACCACCGCTAGGCATCTATGACAACGTAATAACTGTTAGAGAACTAAACGACAGCATTTCCCTCTCAGAAATGGTGATGACTGAAAGGTAGCCAAGACCTTTGTAGATGAGAAGTGTACCTGCTGCTTAACTACCACCGGAGTCAACCCCAATGCATGCGGACAGCGCTCGCCTACATGACGGGAGAAGTGGACGGTCCACACTAAGAAAAGGAGGCCTACCACATCTCACAGCATCAGGCAACCCCGGCCCTCGGGAGCTCCGTGGCTGCCGATTTCCAGCCAGGCAACTTCTCCCAGCTTTGATCTGGGGGTAGCAAGAGGAAAGCCTGCAACCCGCCACCAGAACAGCCCACGGCCCACGTCCTGCTTGCCCCTGGCCCACCAAAGCCCCCCTCCTCACCTTCCACCAGCTCGTCCAGGCTGGTGAGCTTCTTGCTGCCGTCGATGGTGTAGATGGTGCGGACGCCCTGGGGCAGGTTCACGTTGTCCGACAGGGACCGGGTGAGCTCAACGAGCAGGGCGTCGAAGGAGCGGAAGCGGTCGGTGGAGATGGCGTACACCAAGCCCTTGAAATACCGATCCCCGTTGCGGTAGAAGCGAGCTTTCCGGGCTTTCTTCTCCGAGCTGAGCGCCTGCAGGGTCCGCGTCCTGTAGAGGCTGCAGTGGGCGCTGTGAGCCGGGCTGGGGATCAGCCCGTTGCCCCTCGGCCCCGGGCCACCGCCGCCGCCACCGGAGCCGGTGCCGCCGCGGCGCGGCCCGGCGCGCTGCTGCCTCTTGTCCCGCTCCTCGAAATGCTCCAGCTCGATGCTCCGGTTGCTCGCCATGGGGAGCTTTGCCCGTCCGCCCTCCCTCCCAGCTCCGCGGGGACTCACGCCGGCTACGGGGCTGCTAAGCCTGCCCCGCCGCGCTCGAAAGGGCTCCGCTCGCCTAAATCAGCATCGCGCCCGGCCTCTCCCGCCGGGAGGGCTGCGGAGCCCGACCTGCCGCCGCAAGCGCGGCTCCAGCCGCCGCTCGCTCCGCCGTTACCCGCTGCTCCGCCCGCAGCCGCGCACAAAAGCATCCCTCACGCCTTCGCTCGGCGCCCGAGCCAGGCTACCAGCCCACGGCGGGAGGCTCGGGGGAGCCCCACGGCCGCGCCCCCCGCCTCCCCCGCGCCCATGCACAATGCGGCGGACGCCCCCCTCCCAGCCGCCGGAGTGAGAGGCGGCGCGGGGACCGGAGCGCCTATTCCGCCCGCTCCCCGCCGGCGGGCGGGGCACCGGGGAACGCCGACGGCCGCTAGTCAGCCCGGGGAGCGGCGCGACCTCCCGGCTCCTCAGCGGGCACAGGGCGCTGGCAGCGAAAACCGAGCGAAAACAACCGCAGCGGATCGGGCGGAGGAGGGAGCAGCGGCCCGGCCGCCGGCGGGGAAGCGGGAGGCGGGGCGGGGCGGGCGCTGTGGGGACGGGCGCGCGGGGGCGGTGCCATGTCGGCGCTGAGGCGGGAAGCGGTGGGTGTGTGGGGGTGGGTGTGTGAGGGGGGTGTCTCTGTCCCCAACGTTGGCGGGTGGACGGGCGCTGCGTGGGACCGGGGTTGCGTGGGCTGCACGGCCGGCTCCTCGGTAGGTCTCGGCTCAGGACAGCGGGAAGGGGTCCCTGCAGGCAGCGGAGCGTGACCCGGGGGAAGCAGCTTTCCCGCTGGGACCGGCCCGTCGAGCCGCCGCCCCCTCAGGCGCACCCGTGGGGCTGCCTGCTGGCCCTCTCCCGGCCTTACTTTGCCTCGGTTAAAACGCCTCTAGGGCTCCTTTCCATATGGCCCGAAAATACAACCCCCCCGGACATCCCTGTCATTTCTCATTTGTGAACGCCACCGCCGCTGAGCTTCCCACCCTGAGGAGCCAAATAAGCCCAAGTCCCCTTTCCACAGTCTTAACCTCCTAAACGTGCTGGATCCCACAGTTCACGGCTTCCCCAGGAGCATTTCTCAATGCTCCCTAGGTTTTCCAAGTCAAATTCGCTTTTGGTAGAAATGGCCAACAGATGCATTGAAATGGATGCAATTTCAACTTTTTCCCAGCTTATTTCCAACTACCACAGAATGTATTTTCTTTTCTTGACATGAGTACATAAAAAATACAGAAAAATACATTTACAACTAGGTGGAAGTTTTCACTTTTTTTTCAGGCCTCTTGCTTTGAGAGACTCTACTTGTGTTATGTCATCACAGGAGGTCATAGTTTCTGCTTTTTTGTCCCGGGCCCCTAAGAACCTCTGCCCATCCGCTACACCACGTACTCAGTTGCTGTCAGGAGGAGGTGGTACTCAGGTTGATCCTCTGCATTGCAAATGTAACTGCTGCAGGTGGAGCTTCTCTATATGAAAACTAAATTAGTAACTGTTATTAATAACAGAAGGATTTTGCTTTCACTAAAAGTAATTAAAGAATTACTTTTACTGAGTTAGGCTAAAGGTGTTATTAAATTAGTGTTGTTGAAATTCTAAAAGTTAAGCAAGCCTTTTTTGATCACATATTAGGCATATGGTTGGGCATTGTGGGGAGTTGGGCAAGCAATAGGATGGGGGGGTGGTCTGTGGTTAGGTATCAGGTAAAGGGGCACCTGGATGGGAGGGGTCGGGGAAGAATGGAAGCCAGCAGAGAAGGAAGCAAAGAACTGATGAAGAGGAACCTGGACTTCACTGCCCCTCCCAAGCCCCCCGGAGGGCCATGGAAAAGTACTGAGAGAGAGAGACAGCCTCGGAGAAACAAAGAAAAAGGAGCTGCGCAGGTGTAAAGAGGAGAAAACCCGCCATTTTCACTTAACCGATGAAATCTCCTGGTTGCTCTATGACAAGAAGGCCCTGCTGGGGCAGGGCGCGCCATCGCGTCCAGCGCTGTAGTCTTTGCCTCACTGACTTTGTCCCTGAATAAATTTTTTTTTGATATACGTGAGCTTGTTTCTCACAGTAACTGAAATACACGTACAGAAGAGGACAGGTTTATGAAAGTACTTTTCACGCTTGGGACAGAACTGTTCAACAGAGACATTCTACACAGCTTAGGAGACAGTCTTCTGTCTACTTGTACATGCTGGGAAAGGGAAAAGATTTGACTAAGATTTATCTGTTTTGTTTTGTGTTTCAGCATTTTTTGAAAATACTGTTTTCCACACTTTCTGTGGATGTATTATTTTCACTTTTTATATTTTGAAATCCTGATAAAGTCAAGCGCTATCTCATCATTATTACTGGATTTATTATAAAGTAGATTAAATATCTAGCTACAGTATTTCTAAAGACAATACATGGAAAACACCAGTGAATTTCACTCTTGAAGTGCCAATTCCGTGCTGCCTGAAAACCTCCACACAAAAGGAATAGATAAACCATGGAGCTGGATTATCTCCTCTGGTGGTAAAATTGAGAGAAGGAACTGAATGAAGCAGGAGTTTTGTTACAGTTGAGGCATGAATACACCTACTAACGTCAGACATGTAATTCTTGCCTAGGAACCAGGACCTGGAAGCCACAAAAAGGTAAGGAACAACTCTCTAGACTAGTTTTGGTGTGCAGTTTCTAGTCCTGCTTACAGGCAAAGTCACACAGGTGAAGTTCAAACTCACCTGTGTAACTTTGCTTCAAAGTGGATTGGTCTCAGCTGTGAGGCTGTATTTTTGCCAAATGGTACCACATCACATGGATATGTCTAGTGTTTGCAGAGTAAGTCAAATTGCATAGTTTAAGCCTCAGCTGAAGGTTATTTGGACTAACCTTTTTCAGTTTGCTCAGTAGCAGACCACAAAATCTTGGGGAAGTTAAATCCCCCCCTTGTACACGCTTTCTACCTCTTCTCAGCTGTTAACTACTGCCTATTATCTACAGTACAGTGCTCAACTATAGGTAGAGGACTCATGTGGACTAACATGTAAAGTTTATATATAAATTTAATATATTAATTGTGTCTATGACTGAATTTAGGTTGGAGATTTCAGTGTCGAGATAGGCATTTTACTGGTTTCAAGTAGATTTGCTGGGTGGCAGCATATGTCATGTGGAGGACTTGCTCTGAATTCTGTATTCTCTAGCTTGACTACCTAGGTGGGATGGAGGGAAAGAAATTTTATACAACTCCTCCAGTAAACTAAAATGGACTTCTCACACCTTTGACCACAAAAATTTTCTTTCCTCCTCAAAGAGAATCCCCACTACAGATAGGTTTTGAAGTCTGTACAGCCACAGTGGTTTTATAGAGCATATAAGCACAAAATTGACTTCTGGCCTGTAAAACTAAACTACTTCTCTATTAAGAGGCTCTTCACAGAGTTGCAATTAGACCTGGATGTGTAACTGCCAAGGAAGTTCGGGGTGACACCTCAAACACGTTCCTACAACTTGTGCTCTCCCTTTTTGGTTCTCTTCAGATGTTGTCTGTAGTTTTGATAAGCTATGTAAGCCCCCATTGGGAACAGTTCACAATGCTTCTATTTGTATGTATGCTTTGCCTTTTCCCTGCCACATTATTTCTCCTAGAGAGTCATCTGTAGTCAAACAGATATTTTAAAAGACTTTCAAAGATGAGAAATAGAACCCCCCAAACAACCCCACGTGCAGCTGAACTGCATTTGCTGTTGTATGTGAGAAAATTAGTGTGCTTAATGTGCAGTTCCATATGGAACTGAGCTATGCAATCTCGTTATCTTCTTCCTACTTTATCTTTACAAATACAGTTGATAAATTAGTAGTTCACTTAACAGCAAACAATGTTACATGTATAAATGATGCTTTGCTTATTAACCAAAATCTTGACACCATAAAAATGTGATTATCATTCATTCTTGTGATATTCTATAAATATACATTTCCTATTTGAAAATAAGAGCTTCCAGTTTTCATGTCCATCTAATTAATCAGTTCTCCCTCCTGTCTTTGCTATGCCTTTTTTTCTTCTCTTTATTGTGGCAGGCATAACAAATTCTTGGCTTAAATCTCTTCCTGCATCTAGAAGACTTCTTATGTGGTTTGTATTTTGGTTTTGTTTTGCTTCATTTGGTTTGTTTGGGATTTTTTTGTTTGTTTGGTTGTGGGGTTTGTTTGTTTGTTTTTGTAACAAGCAACCTCTGTAAGAAAAGTCTAAAAGGAAACCAAGAAATCTTTACTATCAGATACAATGTATCTTCTTCTGTTACCTGAACTCCTTACCTTTCTAATTAGAATTCAAGTTATTCAGCATATTTAGTGGGTTGGTAGGAAGAATTCAGTTCAGGCTCAGAGTTTACAGTGGGTAGTTTTGGAAGAACATTTATGTATCTGACATTTGCATTTAGCTCATTGATTTTACTTTGAAAATTATAATATGTAATGTTGCTAAAGAAGAAAAAAGAACACCATAAACTTGAGGTCTCTTGGCTCAAGATTTATTATGTGAAAAACATTTTTTGAATAATTCAATAACAAAATGTTTACTCATATCATCAGATAGCAAATTTGAGTATTTAAACAGTGAAATGGTTATTTGTAATGATTTGTTTTCAACCAAGAATGTTAAAATGCTTTTAAAATATTTATACAACACAACCTTTCAGCATCCCTGTGAGATGCTGTGCCCTACTTCATAGATACATAAAACGGGAAACTAAAAGTTTAAGCAACTTGCCTGAGTAGCAGAGAAGTCAGACTGGAAACAACAACCTTCTCTTCAACTGTGTTCTTTTCATCCACTCAATAGTTTCTCCATGGGTGTCATGGAGAATATAGTATTGCTTTTAAAATGGCAGATATTAATATAAACAACTATACAGAAATAAAGCATACAAATAAATACATTGGCATAGGTGGTATAAGAAAGATGCTTAAGCCTTCAGTCAGGCATAATCTCCTTGTGCTGCATGTTCTTTTCACATTAATGCTTGTTAATTAGTGGGAATATGAGTCTGAGGCTCATTGAATATTGAATTATCTTAGTACATCTTAATGTATCATAGTTAGGTAAATGTCTGAATCCAGTATATGTGATAAGACATTGTAAAAGTGTATGCAAAAGACCTCAGAATTATTCACCGGTTTCAATAGACTAGATGAAAATACCATACAGAGGTTCAGTTACTCGTTAAATGACTTCTTATACTTCCCAAAGGATTCCTTTATCCTTAAATTTATCTTTAAGTGTATTATTTCTGACCACTCATTTAAGAGTTCTGAAACTAGTAAAAACAATTTGAATAAAAGCCTTATAAAAGCAATGTTGAACCTGAAACGCAAAAAGGTATAGATGGAAAGATCTTCACAGTATGTTCTATTTCAATTTGGTGCTCCAATGAAGACTCGAATATACCAAAACCATTCCCAGCAAGGTCCTGGTTTTAAAGGCTCTTCATCGGTGACATTTCATATCAGCCAGTAGTTTGCTCAAGGGAACATTTTTCTTAATATCCAGTTATTTT